TAGGGAAGAAAGAGAAGGAAGGGAGAAAGAAGGTAGAGAAGAAGGAGTGGGGATGCAGTGAAAGGGGAAATGGGCGAGCAACACCAAAAGTCATGTGTATGTATTTATTTCATTAAAAGTATCTTATATATAAGAATGTAAAAAGAATGTATGTTAATATCTGATAAATATCACGGTATATGTATGGGGGAGAGTTTGGCAAAATAAAAAATAAATTAAAAAAAAAAAAGATGGCCTGCATTGAATCAAGTAACACTACAAGCAACAAAAAGAGACCTATCATCTGGAAGGGAAGCCTTATTATGGAAACCTACGTGACAAAAGAGGAAAGCTAGAATAAGATTGAAAAATGAAAATTAAAATTTCTTAAATTGGATTAAAGGCAACCTAGAACTATGGACTGAGATCATGAGTTTGAAGTAAAAAGATGTTTTAGAGTTGGGGTGAATTAATAACTAATTGAATGTTAATTCAATAAGATGACTTGTTTGTTTTATAACATGGATGTTTAGCTATGACTTAATGGATTGAAATGATTTAAGGTTTGATATTAATTTGTCAGCTCAAAGAGATTGATTAATTGAAAGATTAGATACGTACAGAGTAGATTGATAAATACATATATTTAGATGTGTTTAGGATAGATTAATATTTTTGCTTGAAAATGAGATATTTTTATATAATGGATTAAAGACAATTTAGAATATTAAGAATGCTTTTTTTAGAATCTGAGGTTTATTTCTATGAAAATTATATGACATGATTTAAGGTATGATATTATTTTTCTAGCTTGAAGAGATTGATTAATTGATGGATTTGATAGGTACAGGACAGATTATTTTACTCCAAATAAGGGAGATTAATGGAAGAAGTAAATAAGATCTTGATAAAATTAAGAAAGTAGAACATACGTGGAAGGGATAGTTGAATTGAAAATGTTTTTATTTAAAGTTAATTTGATTATGGTATTGTAAACTAATGAAGCTTAAAAACAGGTTCAGGTTGAATACACTTAAGCTAGAATTGGATATTTTAAATATACTATGTTATTCGAGGTAAAAAGAGAGGGATTCATTTGATGTATTGATTGTATTATGTATATATGTTTTGTCTTGGGCTGTTTGAATACCCCAATAAAATTTAAAAACCAATAAAATTTGTATAAAAAAATAAAAATAGTCGATCCTTATCTGGGTCTTTCTCAGTTATACAAACCATTCTCATTCATAGAAATACGAATGTGTGCATCTACACACACCCACAAACAATACCATCCACACAAACATCCACAGAATGAAGATGGGATAAAAGGAATGATTAGCTGCACTGAGAAGTGAAAGAAAAAAAGGGGGAACAGAAAGCAGCATGACGATTTGTGGGAGAAGAAGGGAAAGAGAAATCAATAAGGAAGTTGTTACACACACAGTTAAATTCCTCCAGCCGTGTCTTTCACACAGCAGCAATTTTTTTAATGGATCTTCAAATACACCCACACTTTTCAGCAATGCTGTCTGAAGCCTTTTGCTCTTTTTGTTCATTCCTTTGTTTTTAACAGCTTCTTCTGTTTTCACAGTGAAAGGTAATATAACCCCCTCCAAATGAAAAAAAGCTACTTTTAAGGGGGAAAAAACCCCCTTTGCATCGATGCAATAATTCCATTGCCAATCCTTAGATCCAAAAAAAAAATACTGCGTGTCAAATAGCTGAAATAGTGTTATTTATTTTAAACAATAAATTATAATAATTTCACTGACATATTGTGCAAATTATAATAACTTCACTGACATTGTGAGAAGACGGTGGAGAGAGATGACGTCAGATAAAGTAATAATTTTATCCATTTGATTGTTACAGTTGTCCAGTTGCTTATTTTTTGGTATTGGAAGATTAATGAGAACCATGTCATAGCTCTAATAGTACCTGACTTTCCCACAATGCTCCAAGCAAGCAATTAAGTGATTTAAAAAAAACCCCTCTATTTGGTGTGAAATAACATTGCCCTGTAATACAGACCTTTCAGGAAGTATATTTAGATTTTAATCTAAAGCAAAACTTTGTATATCCTCTGTTTTCGAAATGAAATATGTTTTCCATAAAA